CTTCGCCTTCTCCGTCCACCATGCATTTTTTATGCGACGGAGCTCTCAGGTCAGTCGCCGTCGAAGTTTGCGAAACTGACTCTTCTTCCCCAAGTCACTGGGATCTGCAACATGTGCAGCAAATGCTGCATTCTTCTCTGACACCAATGCGTCAATCGTCACATTGTTGTCATCAAACCAATCGGGCCGCTTACAGTTTGCGCGCCCGATGGTCTCCTCGGCAGCAGCTGTCACCTGGTCGCGAATGTGGTGCCACAGGTCGCCCACTGTGGCTATGCAGTCCACATCACCACACAGGCGTGCAGCCATCGCCTTCTCCAGCTCAGTACGTTTCGCCACAGTACCGAGGGAGAGAATGTTAAATTTACGCCGATTCACGGCGGGAGTGCAATACATCGATTTACGAAAATATATGTACAGTTTGGTCCGAACCAATTTGTGATCAGTGCCACACTCAGCTCCACGCAGTACACGTGTCATGCGCACTTCACGCATATCACGCTGACGTACAATGACATAGTCGAGCAGGTGAGCGTGACCACTCCGTGGGTGCGTCCAAGTTGCTGTATCACTCGCACTCAGTGCAAACCGAGTGTTCGTGATCGTCAGGCCGTGAGTGGCACACAGTGAGAGCAGCCTGTCACCGTTCGCATTCGCTGAACCAATGCCATGCGCACCGATAACATCTGTCCACGCTGATGCATCACGCCCAACGCGCGCGTTGGGCGTGTTGTGTTACATACATGTAACACAAAAGAAAAATAGATACAACACTTGCATGCCAGCTGAGCTACCAGCAACGGATACGCATCGTTCCGGTAAGCTTCCAGCCAGCTACTAGGCAAAAAGAAAAAAATTATTATTATGTTTTACCCTACGAAATGAGATCGTAGATGAAGGGGGAGACTAAAAGGGATGGGGAGGGACAAAGAAGCTCACAGCAGGAACGCCACTGAGGTCGGCTCCTTGCCATGTCAGCAAGTGTATCCAGCCAAACGTGTTCACCGTCTTTTGGACCCCAACCAGGGAACCGTGAAGCTCCAACCGAGGCTAGCTCCGAAGTGATGGACTTCATTCCTCTGGACCAAGTCATCGCTTGGCCACCTCTCCTCTTCTTCCACCCACATCCCCGGTGAGCAAACAACGCACGTCGCGGGAGTCGGTGGGCTGGCATGCGTAACACGTGGCCGAGCCATCGGAGCCTGGTGCGGGAAATAACGGTGCTGAGCGGTTCAGATCCTTTCCCTGGGTCGTAAACAAGGCGCCGAACACGCTCTTTACTCACGCGGTGTTCCCACCAGATGTGAGCCAAACTGCGAACGCACCGATGGTCGAACGTAACTAGCCTCTTCAAGTCCGTCGACCTTAGGGGCCAGGTTTCGCAACCGTACAGTAAGGTCGAACGTACCGCTGCATTGTACACTCTACCCTTCAGGGCAAGAGTGATGTCGCGCCGCCGCCACAGGTGGCGAAGGTTAGCAAAAGCACTCCGAGCTTTCGCTATACGGTTCGTGATCTCGTCTTCGATCCCAAGGGCGCTGATACAACTTCCCAGGTAGTTGAATTTCCGAACGACTTCTAGCTGATCCCCACCAAGGGTCAGCGTAGGAGGCGATCCCTGCCAATCTTGGAGGAACGCTTTGCACTTCGATGGTGCAAAGCAAAGCCCGAAGCGGCTGACAGCCAGTGCTAATCTGTCCAGCGCGGCTTCGCACGTCTGGGAGCTGTCGCAGATGAGGGCAATGTCGTCTGCATACTCCAAGTCAAGAAGTCGTTCTCCTGGGAGTAGCTCCACACCTTCCAAGTCATGTCCTGTAAATGCAAACTCCATGACTTCGTCAATAGCAAAGTTGAAAAGGAAAGGTGACAGCGGGCATCCTTGCCTCACACCGCTGGAGATATTGAAGGGTGGCGACAGCTTGCCGTAAGCCCTCACTCTGCCCTTGCTACGCAAATATAATGCTTAGATAATATTTACATATTTCTCGGGCACACCTTTCCTGATAAGAAAATTCCAAAGGGCACATTGATCAACCGAATCGAAGGCACCTTTGATGTCGAGGATCACGACTACGGTGGGCCGCCAATATGTGTGACGGTGCTCCAACAACTGACGCAAGGTGAAGATGTGGTCGATGCAGCCACGACCCCGACGAAACCCGGCTTGCTCTTCACGAATCTGGCTTTCACGAGCGCCAGTCAGTCTGTGAAGGATTATGGAGGCGATGGAGATCAGACTGATTCCTCTATGGTTGCCGCATTCCGAGCGCGAGCCGCCTTTAAAGATGGGAACAATAACGGAGCGGCTCCAGTCGGGTGGGACAGTCTCCTGCTCCCACAGTTTCACTAGTAATTCATGTAAAGCATTAATAAGAGCAGAGCCTCCGAATTTGAAGAGGGCTGGATGAAGATCATCTGGTCCTGCGGCTTTGTTCAACTTCAACAGTCCGATCTCATGTTCGACTTCTGAGCGAGATGGTGGATCCAAAGGGACAGCCCACGGAGCAGGGCGATCAATCGCCGGCGAAGAATCGAACAATTCTAGCCGATTAAATTGCTTTTCAAAATGCTCAGCCCAACGCTCCAAACGTTTTGACAAATGGTGCATCGGCTGTCCACTCTCATCACAAATTGTTTCCCTAACACCAGGTCTCCTGCTGCCCGTTTCCCGTATCAGACGGAATAACTTACGATGGTTGCCAAGAGCAGCGGCGGCTTCCATCTCTGACACACGATGAGACCACCAAGATTCGCGGTCTCTCTTCAGGCTAGCGCGGAGTTTTGCCCTGAGCTCTTTGCGAGTTTCATTGTGCTCGTTTCCAGCCGGAATATGCCGGCGAGGGTCGATAAGTTCCAGAGACTGTGAAGAGACCCAATGTCCATGTTGGCTTTTAGACATACCACATGAGGATTTGCCTGCTGCTAATAAGGTCTGGCGAACATGTGACCAGTGACCATCAATTGTCTCCAGTGAGCGATTGCTCAACTCGCATGTCAGCGTACTTTGATACGCATTCAGAACAGCTGGCTTTGTCAGTTGGCTGGTGTCAATGCGCTCACAGCGTCGTCGTGGGCGTCCGCCAAAGCGCATCCGCACGTCAGGACATACAGGTGCATGATCGGTGTCCACACATGTGCTCCAAACCGAGCGATAATTCTGGATGCAGCCTCTCCAGCGGTAACAAACAGCGCGCAATCGTCGGGAAACCGCAACATACGGATGGTTGTCTCACGCACTCTGATTCTTGCTCCGATACGATAAATGTTCCAGACGGACATCATTACCACACGCAATGAAAGTCGTAGGTATCATGCCATTCAGGTAAATTTTAAACAAGTCCGGAGCTAAGACATTCTCCCTTCATATCAGAGACAACATCAAAGTCATGTTAAGGTCTGTCCGCAACGTTGCGCTGTCGCCCGCATACCACCGCCGGCATTCCAAAATACTAACACTTACCTAGGCATTCAGACTTACCCAACACCAGCTACAGTGCCTCGCAGTTCACTGTATCGAATACCTTGCCGTTGTCGACAAACAGCGAGCAGAATGGCAGGGTTCTCTCACGCCATCTCTCCTGAAGTTGATCAACCGAACCATTTCATCGCACTACCAGCTGGGTGGTTCGGGTTTAACCCGTCTCAGCAAATAGTTCGGCAGCAGTGTTCCGGGACCTAGTGGGTTTTCGCCTGGCAAGCGTTCTTCATGTAAAAAGTCACATATATCTGATTAACAACACTGCCACGTGGCGAATGTGACTCGCCACAAACTAGTCACTGCCCCGTTTATGTCCGGATATTGCTATCCAACCCACGGACATCAGTCGTCTTTTCTCACATTCCTGATGATATCAAACAGCCAAAAACTCAGCGGCACGTTTTGCGCATGCCAGCCCACCGATTGCTACCTGTGCTGTTTGCGCGCCGGGGATGCGCATGGAAGATGATTAGAGGCGGCCAAGCGCTGACTTGGTCAAGAGGAATGGGGACCTTACTTTGAAGTTGCCTTCGGTTGGAGCCTCTCGGCTCCCTGGTTGGGGACCGTAGGACAATGAACACGTTTATTTGGATACATTTGTTGATATGGCTAGGAGCCGACCTCACGGGCGTTCGTGTTGTGTGTTTCTTTGTCCCTCCTCCTCCAACCACGATTTCCATTATTAGGCATGACTTTTTTGCGGCACAAAATCCGGCTGTTAGCTCTCTGGAACGATGTCTATCCGTTACTGGTGGCTCAGCCGGCGTGCCTCTGTTTCATGTTTTTTTCTTTTCTTTCGTATTGCGGCACTATAGCTGAGGTGTTTTCCACCTGCAGCTAACGTGTATGATGATAATGTTGATGCACAGCTACATGGTTGGCGGCATGCGGTTTCGAATTTGCCTATCACTGTGGCCAGCCACAGGACGTCTGCGCCTACAGAGGGACCATGGGTGGCTTGCGCTGCAACACTCATAGTTCCACCCACACACCCCATATCCAGTGTAAACCCGAGCATGTCATGACATGGTTGTCTCGCTGAAAATGCGAGTACATAATTTATTTATTTAGAGAGAATATCACAGAAGCCCCTTCATATTCCGAACACTGTGCCACTGAGGACATACAATGGTCTACGGGAATGCTTCTCCCATTTCGCATATTGGATGGGATACATCATAACTACTGTGTCTCCGTTTCCACCATTAGCTTCTTAATTGTAATACTGCTAAGTAACTCCATTCTTGATGCTTATCAGGGATTAGTCGTTTTTGTTAACTGGTGCAGACCGTTGGGTTAAACCGCTCCCCTGTGGTAACATCGTTGTCTAATTCGAAGCGGGACGCTTATTTATTTTTCTGGTACAGTACACTTACAGCACTGGCGTTTTTCGCCTCTGATTAGCCTGCAAATGGTTTTTATTTGGAAACGGATGATTCTCTTCAGCTACACTCTTGTTTCCGTTATTATTTTATCTGAGCTGTGTTCATTTCCATCTTGTTGGCCTTCTTGCTTTGTGTAGTGCTTATGTCTGGGGCGCTTCGGTCAAGTATCAACCTCAGCGGGTTGGGAAGGATCATGTTTTACTCGACGAAGACGTTGTACAGATAGTAAAAAAGTGAGCGCTATCAGTTAAACATGCATTATTCCGTTCTTCTCATTGTGTTTACCACTCATCTTCAGTCCAGTACTATTGTTATACACCTCTTCATCCTTTTGTTTTACTTAACTGGTTGAGCCTCATAGAAGTATAGCTCTGTGTTGTAGGTTATTGGTAAACGTTTTCACGCCTGTTACGTGGTTTGCCATTAATTAACTGATATCGTCTGGTGTAATCTCGTGGACATCTGTCTCGCCATTTGCCGACTTTAGGAGGTAGTCAGGCACTTTCTTTGTCTTTTTCACTGTTATCTTTTAATCAGGATTCCTGTTCTTTGTACTGGAGTTAATTCGTTTTGAACTTTTTGCCCTACTTATTCTGCTCCACTCTACCTTGATCCAGGAGTTTTATACTATTTCAGCTCCAGAAATTGAGAGTTGTTCTTTCCTTCCTTAGCGATTCTACCCTTGTTTTTACTCTCGGCTAACCCGAGCTTTACACTGACCATTTGTTTCGAATGTAAGTTTTCCTTCATGAAACTCCCTTAGGTCGGCCATCTGAGTACCTTCAAAAGTCCTTTTGTTGCTCTGATGGACTGACGGCTGTCTCATACCATTTTTCAACTAACTAAACAATTGGCACATAGGCGCTAGACAAACAGTGTTGCGTCATTTCTTTAATATTGAAGCGGTTGCTATGTCTACCCAGTTTTAGCCACTCCTTGTCGTAGTGCTGTCGGCAGCGCTCGATTGACGACAGTGGTTTATTTTCATTTGGTAAAATGCTGCAGTGAGCGGACAAACTCTTTATCGCTAATTTCATTTACGTGTTATCTTTATGTTTGTCATGAAAATTTACTTAATAGTTTTTCACCATATTCTGTTTCAGGATATGAACGCTATACTTTCATATAAGCAGCTCTGTACCCCGATGCACCTCTACTTTCGTTCACGAAATATATTTTTATGGGTCCATGAGCATTTTCCCCAGTTTGTTGCCGTACGCAATTACCATTGCAGTTCCCCGTGGTTCTCCTAATGCCTTGTCGAGACACGACCGACACTACTGCTATTGCCGTTTATGCTTTTTGCCTACGATCTAATGCTCTTCATTGAAACGGTCTATGTTCCAAATCCTGACTGGCTGGCGTCCATTATCGTCATCAGCAACAGTACATCAGTAATTCGAAATGACACAGTTCTTAGCTACCATGCACGTTTTCATTTGTTTCTCACTAGACTATTACACCATAGATGTGTGAAATGAAGGAAAACACCATATGCGAGTGCACGTACGATGGCATAGGTGGTCCAATTTTGGGCCCCAAAGCGGTCAAAAGCATGTGGGGGCGGTGTCGTCCACGCCAAATGCAATCATGAGGATGACCCAGGGGTGAATGTGTGCTTGCGTAAATCTCTTCTGCGCGCATAGGTCGAGATCATGGAGCTAAAGAACAACCACTTCGGCAGCTGTCAGTGGGAGCGACATGTAACCACTCGTTTATAGCGTCTGGGTACGTTGTAGATGGAGTGTAACGCCTCGTGCACTTAAGTCGGGTAGTTCGACTACCAGATGTGTAGACCAAGCGGTTGTCATCCTCAGTTACTTCGCGATACAGTTAACCTCGCGGGCTCTCTCGGATAGTCTAGTGGTTTGCCCGATATGTCTTGATCGACACGAACAAGAAAAAGAGTAAACACGGAAAGTAACATTTGACCTAGGTATCCTGTCTTTGTTAGTTCAGGATGAGTACTGAATCGGAACTTAGCCATAAGCTTGTTACGTGTCCTCAAAAATCCTGATGTTTCACCGCCATGAATGAAGAATAATAGGAGGACAAGGGGGAAGATCTGGTGAAAAACCCAAATGTCGTAAGTAACCGTTCAGCATCAATGCACCTACATTTTATCAACGATACAGTCACAAAAAGATGGCGGCTTTTTGTACTCTCCGTCGTAATTAACCTTGCTTCGTTTATAGCGGCATAAAGCACACTTTAAGCAGATACTCCGACTAGGGGAGACGGTAGCAGAGACGCTGCTGGTGCAGGCTATGAGCCAGGTCCTGTAAATTTTCGAGCCAAGCACACGATGGTCTAATGGGCTCCAATGTGGAGCACAAAGTAGCTCGACGGCACCATTTAATTGTCGACTTTTATCCGCTTCTAACTCTGCGGCATTCTATATCCGGCAAACAAAACTAAGATCTCCTCGGTAAGCGTTGAGTAATAAATACCCAATCGGACTCAACTTATTCCGCTCTGTTTGTTACTATAGGGAGCCAACCTGATTATCACCGCCTTGTACTCGCCTGCGCATATCATTAGTACGGACACGCCGGTGCAGTCAACGATAATGAGAGATTTGAAGGCTCCTCGGATCCCCAAACCAAAGGGACTATATTTCGCTTCCATAGTGGAGAGTAACCGTTCATGCATGGGGAAATGCTTTTGGCGCCACGTATGTCACAAACTTAAGCATGCATTTCTAGCTATAGCAATATGTTAACTGACGACAATTGCTTTTGCCAATTCGTGTATATGAACCACTATTAGGGCTTACGACAAATTTCCAGGGTATGACGTGTTCCAGCTGTCAATCGTTTTGGGCTACGCTTTGCTCCATCGAAATGCAAAGTACTTCTCTATGATTGGCAGGGACCCAACCCTGCGCTAACGCTTGGTGGTGATCTGCTAGAAGTCGTTCAGGAATTCAAGTACCTGGGCAGCTATATTAGCACCCGTGGGATTGAAGATGAGGTTACGAACCGTATAGCAAAAACTCCAGCTGCCTTTGCCAATCTGCGCCACCTGTGGCGCAGACGCGACATTACTCTCGCCCTGAAGGGCAGAGTTTACAACGCAGCCGTCCGTTCAACTCTCCTATATGGCTGTGAAACCTGGCCCATCAGGTCGACAGACATGAAGAGGCTCGTCACATTCGATCAGCGCTGTCTTCGCAGCTTAGCTAATGTCTGGTGGGAACACCACGTGAGCAATGAGCGTGTTCGGCGTCGCGTATTTGGTGCAGGAAGAGCGAGTAACCGCTCAGCACCATTATATCACGCACCAAGCTCCGATGGCTGGGCCACGTGTTACGCATGCCAGCACACCGACTCCCGCGACGTGCATTGTTTGCGCGTTGTGGGTGCGGTTTGAAGAGGAGGAGGGGAGGCCAAGTGATGACTTGGTCGAGAGAAATGAAAACCCTCACTTCGAAGTTGGCGTCTGTTGGTGCATCCCGACTGCCTAGTTGGGGTCCTAAGGACGGTGAACACGTTTGGTTGGACACACTTGCTGATATGGCTAGGAGCCGGCCCCAATGGCGTTTGTGTTGTGAGTTCCTTTGTCCACCCCCTCCTGCTTAGCATCCCCCTCCAATCACGATCTCAATAGTTAGGCATAATATGACTTTCTTTTACGGCAGCCAGCTGTTAGCTCTCCGGAACGATGTCCATCCTTTACTGGGGTCTCAGCAGGCGTGCCACTGTTTGTTTTTCTTTTCTTGCCTTTTTTATTGCGGCACAATAGCTGAGGTGTTTTCCACCTCCAGCTAACGTGTAATAATGATGATGATGAGAGAATGCGTTGATAGTACTCCGGAGAGACCTTGCCACACATATTGAGAGTCCAGAAAATGGCGTAGACGAATAGATTCCAGGGATGCTATTTATTTTTTATACACAGGGTAGACGAGTCCCCAGGTACTTGGAGTCACGGCATAGTGGATAATCGCGGACATTTGTGGGAAATGTAGACACACAAACTGCAAATTGCTCTTGCATGCGGGCCGACGCTGTATTTGTCCAATTACACTTTGCAAGTTCGTTCTATGTGATTAGCGTCGTGGATGGTAACATCAGTAAGATGTGCAATGCAGTTATTAATGGCGAGCAAATCAGGCTTGATGAAGGTGTTCACACTGAACATAGCGACGGCGGATCATAGTGAACAATTGTTTCGCGGTGTCATTATGAGGGTTTTCAGTAAGCATCGCACATGGTTACCCTTGATTGAAAGGCATGTCCGACTGCTTTATTCTAGTCACGATACCAAAAGGTTTGATCTACCTCGAGTACGACGTGTCGTTATTGAATGAACTTCCGCTGGTAGCTGAATCTTTTGTGCATAGCGTGGGATTCCTGCGCCTGCAAGATACCATGTGTTGGAGTCCTTAGTAATGTTGAACAAAAGTGGCTAAATGGAGCAACCCAGACAAAGACCGATTGTGATCAGAGAGCCGTTTGGAAACTCACCGTAGACCCTGACGCAACCTGTGGTTTTCTGACATTAGGCGCAAAGAATGCTTACATTCCAGTTAAGTATGTCGAACGTAATGGGGTGACCGATCGGGTCGAGCGCACTCTTACAGTCCAAAATTGCTATCGACTGCCTAGATGCTTGTGTCACAGGTATAGCACCCATTACGGAGTGCACATATAATCTCTACGCGTTTCTGGCGGACATGGATTTTATTCGCTAGTCGAATGGATATAGTGCCTACCTTGTGGTCCACAGGTTACCATTTCGAATCCTCGTAGGTGCGGGCAACCTCGCGGTATAACCACCCACCGTAAGACTGGTTGTGGCCGCTTGGTAGCGAAGCATGTGTCGGGGTACTGCTGATGCCTCAACCGGAATTCTTGTTCTGCAGTGTGTCGATGCATGGGGCTTGAGGCCAGTGGATTTGTCACTGCTGGCGTTAAACTAGCACCACTGTTAGAAGCGAACGAACACTGACTTCACCAGGGTAGAGCGTGGCTGATCACAGAATCTGTTTGCGTAAACTTTGTTTCGGTCACCGAATCGCCGACGCTTCGGTAAAAAGAAGCAGACGGGGATATCTGTCAATTACCCTAAACTATCTGCCTGGGTTTTAGCATGCTGTGCAATGGAGTATGTGGCGGGTAATCGAGCCGGCAGGTAGCTTGGGGTCTGTTTGCAACCATGTTAGGAGGCATGTATTCTAACATCCTTGTAGACAGACTTCCTTCAGATCCGCCAACCTACTTACTACCACAAATAGAGTGAAATCGGTTGACACACGAAACGGTCCGCTCAGGTTGAACTTGCACGGCAGCCTTGTTTGATTCAATACCACTAGTCCAGCTGCATTATATATATATATATATATATATATATATATATATATATATATTATCAGAAGTCTTTAAGATATACATAGAGCCACCGAAAACCATGAAACAAAAGTAATAAATACAGAGACCACAAAGAAAGAAATGAAAGTTGCAAAAAGGTTTTCTTTTGGGTCTTGTCTTTACTTTTTTGCTTTTTTTCACGCGCCGTTTTATCTTTTTTGTCCGCTTAATGTTTGCGATGTAAATCAAGCAAATCAAGACAAACATTTGTACACATTTTCCATTAGGCCCGGTTCTGTGCCATCTCCGAAAGAGTTTCCAGCCGGCGGTGTTCTTCATCTTTGATCCCCCAGCCCGGAGAGGCACGGGACCTACTGTGCGGACTGTACCCACGGACACCACGGCATTTTGCTTTACCGTGCTGGATTCTACTTTTGCTTTGGAAATACTGTGCTATACGTGTTTTCTCTGTGTGAATTTTGCACCAACACTTTGCTTTTGGTGTATTTTTCCATCTGTGCGAATTTGGTGGATTTTCTCCAGCTACTGTCGGAGATCTCACTGATTCGCCCAACTGCCGTCTGTGTCCGCCATCTTGGATTCGTTCTACAGCAATCGAACAGGTGTCTGCCAGACCACCAGCTTGACTGACGGCGTTTGGATTCAGCATACCAGTGTAGATGTTGCAACGAACAGCTTCCGCAGATCTGACAGTTACAATGGCACGTACTGGTTGCCCACGGAAGGCTAAGCCCAAAGCTTCCGAACTAAAGGTTAGTTGTGGCGTAGACAGCTGTGTACAACTTGCGCAATTTGGAATAGAATGCAGAAACTGCCGAAAATACCTCCATTCTCGATGTGCTCACCTTAGTCTC